CAAATAATTGACATACTTTGCCATTGTTTACAAACCCACATATCATGAGAAGCATTATGCCTTCACATTCTAATGTCTTAAACAAATATTCAGTACAGTATAGGCCTTACAAACAGATCTGCATGACCTCCACAAATGGTTGGAGGAGTAGCAAATGCTTTTTAATATAAAAAAAATGCAAGACCCTGGTACTTGCATTACAACTAGGAATTACAACTACCACATCAACATTACCCTTGCAGCAGATTAATGAAGAAAAGGACCTTGGAGAAACTACCAATCATTAAAAGTCGCACTACAAGTGGAAGCTGCATTAAAAAAAAAAGCTAACCAAATCCTAGGAATAGTCAAATGAACCTTTAACTTCAAGGAAAAGAAGGTAGTTATTGAACTGTAAAAAATTTCTGATACACCCTAAGGGGCCTGACAACTGAGTGGACAGCACTCAGGATTCGTAGTTCTAAGGTTCTGGGTTCGATCCACAGTGGAGGCGGAAATAAATGGGCAGAGTTTCTTTCGCCCTGATGCCCCTGTTCACCTAGCAGTAAATAGATACCTGGGAGTTAGACAGCTGCTACAGGCTGCTTCCTGGGTGTGTGTAACAAAAAGGTGTGGTCGAGGACAGGGCCTCGGGGACGCTAAACCCCGAAATCATCTCAAGATAACCTCAAGCAAGTAATTACCAAGCAAGATAGCCTCAAGATAACCCCTATTTGGACTATTGTATCCAAGCATGGGGACCTCATCTTCTAAAGGACACGTGTGCTTTGGAGAAAGTTTAACACTGGGGGACAAAAATCATCCCATGACTAAGGCAACTTTCATACCAGGAATAGTTGAGGGCCACAACACTAACAGCAAACTAGACATGACCGAGCTGATCTCATCAAAATTTGTAAAATGCTGAACAATTTGTAGGATATTGATTCAGATCACTATTTTAAAAGGTCAAATGTAAAACATACAAGGAGCAACACCTTCAAGCTCAACAAGACACAATATAGGACAGAAAAACAGGAGATACTTTTTTACCCATTGGGTTACAAGCCAGTGGAACTGCCTACCCTCCGAAGCCATAAATGCCAACATACTGCTGCAATTAAAAATCCATCTGGATAAAATCAAGACAAATCAGGGGGACCTTTGACAAGCCACGGGCTGTTTGCCCTCGTCAAGACCACTAGAGAGATGGTGGCCTTTTGGTAAATTCAGGTACTGTATTGGAGGATTGGTCTCTCAATAGTATCGAAGTATTGGTATCAGATTATATGGTGGTATGAGTCAAAATATTGGTATCGGTACACCTCAACATTTAACACAGTACAGTGCACATCTAATTAAATGTTTTTCTTCCCCTTAACCATTAAGTGTCTTGGAAGTGAATAAGAAGCATTCTTGGCATTTTGTTCAGCAAAAACACCTTGTCAAACCAAACTAATCTGCAGTAAGAGCAGAGAGAAGTGTAAACAGCAATTTTTGAAGGCATAGGCTGACTTTCTTTGTGTGCATCATAATATCCAGAGCAATGTTTTTAATATAAACCATCTGCTGTGCCAATCAAATGAATAGAAGTAGATGTTTATGTGCAAGAGATGTGTTCTCTAAACTAATAAAAATCTGCACCTATTCCTTAATTTTATTTCAATGGCCACATTTTAATACTTTAGTTGTAACACCTCAATGTATTACTTCTTAAATTACATATAGAAGCAGTAAATTTCGTAAATTACGACCAAGCATGTGATCCTGATGTTAAAATTGTTTGTTTTGAGTCAAAATTAAATAACCAAACTTGGTTATTTAATCCAAGTTTCATTAAACTTTAAATAGCTTGATCAAGTATTTGTTTCCTGAATTTACCTGCAGGCAACCCAATTGTGATGCTAGTCCAGCAATTTTTTTCTTTTGTTAAACAGGGCAATGGAGCAGATGACCTGGCTTGTGCTAATGGACTTGTAGCTCTGTACTAAAGTACTTGTACTAAATCAACAGTATTCAGTATCCCTCCCAACATACCATTGAAAGGCACCTGCATAGTGTTGATTTATTATATAAATTCCAATATGACCTCCAAATTTTGTTTGACAGGATAACCAGAATAAGATCATGTGCTGTTTGGTTAATTTTAATTAACAGTTTTACGTATGACAAATATTGATGCAAGCTAATTGAAGCAACTAATAATGTTCATGTAATATGATCACCACCAGTAGCACACTCAGAAATGTTCTTGGAGGAGGAAGGGTCCCAAATCTGTTATTGTTCTATATTGAGATAGTTAAACAGTTAATTATATATTCTTATAAAATTAAGCAAAAACATCTCTAAGAGGAAAATTATGTTTTATAGAGCTGCATAAGAACTTTAGACACCACAAGAGAAACAAGTTTTGTCTCTGATGTTCCCAGACAGTAGAAATGACATACAAATAGAGCCCTAAATTGTGGAACAGCTTCCCAAATGCTCCTAAAAATGCTGTACAAATTTAAATAAATTTAAAAGAGAAATAAAGATTAGTTCACTAATATTTTGTAGTACAGTACAGTAATGTGTCTACCACTCTACATAGGATATCCTCCCATATTGCTTTCATTCCAACTAAACTGTGTTGCTGTTACTTTTCTCAACCTCTCCTAATTACTCTTAAATAATCATTTATTAAACCAATATTCACCAAAACTGAAATAATATATTGTATTTTCTTTAGTAATAACTTAAATTCCTAATCAAAATCCATTTCTTCTAGTATGAAGTGACAGCCTAACATTTGCTATGTAAACTCACAATAGATCTGTATAATATGAATGTACAATATAACAGTTCAATGTATAGGTTTAAGTTTTACCCAAAATGCTGTGCATATCAAGGGACTTTGTAAAAACGTATTCTTCCATTTGTAGTCATAGGGAACAGAGAAAATGGTCAGTTTTCCCTCCCCTCTTCTTTCCCTGGATGTGCTACTGGACCTCATGTAAGCTTAAATGACAATGTAAAGTCATAAGGGTATAACTAAATAGGTCTCTTGTTAGTCCATTTATTAACTAAATCATGTGACATGGTCGATGATGAGCATAATTACTTTTGTTCTAATTACTTGCTACCTTCTAGTACTAGAAGGTAATAGTAATTCAATTGTATAAATTTCTGGTGCACCCCCACATGAATTATTGCATCCAGGCATGGAGATCTCGTCTTTAGAAAGACATGGCTTTATTGGAAAAAGTTCAACACCAGGCAACAAATATAATTCCAAAACAAAGTCAACACTCGTACCAGAAAAGGTTGAGGGGCCACAGGGCTAACAAAACTGCAAACCAGACATTATAGGGCTGATTTCATCAAAATGTTGAAAAATGCTAAATAATTTGGAGGATGTTGGTCCAGACAACGTCTTTAAAAAGGTCAAATTTAACAAACCACAATGTAGGACTGAAAACAGGAGATGCATTTTCACCCACAGTCTTATAAATCCATGGAACTGCCTACCCGCCAAAGCCGTAAATGCCAAAACTCTGCAGAACTTTAAAATCCAGTTTGAAAAAATCAGGACAAATGGGGAGGGGGGGGGGGGAACTCTGACAAACCACCAGCTTCCTATCCTCGCCGAAGGCACTAGTGTGTTAGTGACCCTCAGATGATGCAAGAAAATTTTATTGAGGGCTGACAGACTGTGTATGTATATACAGTGTACATTAAGCTTGTATCAAGGTTTCCCCAAGGGTGAATTACTGACCTTCGTATTCCTGTCAATGATTCTAAGGATCAACATCCCTGCAGCCTTGTCTCTGACCAGGTCAGGATGCAACTCCACAAGTGTTTACAATTTCCAAGGTACTGTACCTATTTACTCCTAGGTGAACAGAACATTAAGTGAAAAGAAACATGCCCACCCATTTCTGCACTTGGGAGTCCTACTTGGGATATGAACCTGGGATTCCCAATTGGGAGTCAACTGTCCAGCACTGTCACTGTACTGGACAGTACTGAGTTGATCAATGTGTAGAGGCAAGCATGTGCGACTTTGATTAGCCAAAATAGTTTCCTGCTCCTGATAATGGTGTGTTGGATCAGTTTCCCAATTTTCCTTTATGTTGAGTAAAAATATTTGTCAGCAGATACCTCTTCAGAGTCATTACTGTATTTGTTAGTAGCTTTAATGTGATTCAGAAGTAATTTTCTATGAAAAATTTATTTTTACGTGATTAACTTTAGTTATTACTTGCTTTATTTGGACCATGTTAGTTATTACTTGCCTTATTTGGACTGTGTTCACATCCTAATAGAAAATGCTCTGAATTTTACAATATTGCTTAACCTTAGTAAGATCTACTTCATACTTTATTTTTCTTGATATACTGTATTTGTTAAGATAGAAATTTGAACATATTAAATCATAAATAATTTTGTGATTGACAAGTTTCTTTTTATTAAAAAAAACAAAACAAGGAATTAAAAAAGTGAAAATAAAAGTCTTCAGGAATTAATAGTATCATATCATTATCAAGGGACAAAACATCAAATATTACATTATTATTTGGGGTTGTAGTCTCTGCCATATAAATATATATACTGTACTTGGTACAATATTATATCTACAAAAACAGCTGAATAACAATCAAGATATACACATGCTGGTAGTGTAATAATTTTTGGTACTGTCCGAGCTTGTTTAGTTAAAAATTGAAGGGGTCAGAGATACAGACGGAGTGAACTAGCAGTTTGAGAATATGTTTACATATATAAAACAAAATAGCTTACGGAAGTGCAGTTTTAAGCTGGGAAACATTTTAATTCACATTAAAGACAAGAGGTTGATGAGTTGGTTTATTATTTTGTTGAAGACAATGATAATTAGCTTATGACGTTGTTGAGGAGACTGGTGAGAATTGATCACATTATTTAAGTGATAATAGTTTCAAAGTTAGTTTTATAGCATTGTGTGCTTGATCTACTATATACATGCTGGTAGGAATGGAAGTTGGAATAATGAAAATAATTCATAATAGATATATTATATTTTACTGCAGTATGTTGAATATGGAATACTGTACCATATACAGTATCCAGAAAAGTCAGTTAATACTTGGCTTGAGTTAGCAAAAACGTTAACTTCAAAGTTTTACATGCTTTGACTTGTAATCTGGTATGGTGTACATCATATTGGTAGTATGACTAAGGGAACTTCATATGTATATGAAGAGGCATGAAGTGTTTTTAAGAGTATAAATGGTACATGTTGAAAAGACTAATGATCATTCATTTTAGAAAGTGGGTGCATTATGTTACAAATATAATAATAATATTTATTTACAAGACAGTACAATGGGTATGTGAGATTACATAAGACTGGTATTTTTACATTCTTGCAAAGCCACTAACATGCATAGCGTTTCGGGTAGGTCCTTAATCTAACATATCAGATAAGATGAAAAGGTACATTGAAGCAAAATGTATATCAACATATAACTACAATGTAAATTGACAGAGGTGATTACACTGGTGATGATTTACATCTTAAGTACTAGTATTGGGGAAGTTGGTAGTACAAGATACAGTGTAAGTTTGAAGCACAAAATAGGAAACTATAACGATGAAATTAAGTACGTTTTAGTTTTATATACAGTGTGTACACATTTTATAGATTTTATATTCTCATTGGCTGATAATGTACAATTTAGCTTTGTTAAGGTATCGTATATGACAGGTAGAGGAAGATATAATTACAGTAATCAGAAATGTTCTGTTTTAAAAACTCTGCAACATTTAATTGTTAAAGTATAAAACTACTATAACACACCATAGTTTATGGATTCTGCAAGAATTATGACTTGAGATTGGTGTGCCAACTGACAGGCACAAACTGGATGACATGAAAAATTAACCAGCAATATTAGTACATATAGTATTTGACTCAAAAAATATTATTCTTACTCACATATACACTTTGATACTTTAGATACATATGTGAATACAGTAGAGAAGTAACATACTAACATCACATATACAGTATGTTGCTCCCTTGGTACTGTGAAGTATGAATTACACAAAATGTATTCACTCATTTCATATAAATTTGTGCATTTGAAAACTTTAGTGCATATTTTGGGTATTCAGGCATTGTTATTAACAAAGCTTAAAAGAATTACAATTTTTAAATTTTAGCAGTTCAACAAAACTAGTAAATCATGTCACTTGCTATCAAAATAAGATGCCATGGAAAAATAAGTAAATAAATAAATAAAAAATTTTGGAAGGTGTGTTTTTTATTATAATCTTGGTTAGAGTTCCATATGCATCTGACTTTGGTGCATTCCCACAGACTTAATTAATTTGCAGTGAAAGTTAAGGAAAGACCCAATTTATGTTTAAAGTCCATTACACACCACATTTTCGGATGTACCCTACATCCTTTCTCGAGGTACTGTACTTTGGTACAAAGTTCTGAACAAACATAAATTGAGTCTTTCCTTCACTTCATTCAAGCACTGTGGCATTGTTGAAGTTTCTCCTAATTTGTAGTACTATAATTATAGTTACTATCCTGTTGATGTGTTCAGAAATGCTCTTGATCTTCTCTAGGTACACTGGACGTTAAATGATTGCCCCATCACGGGTCAAGAGTATCTGCGTGGCCATATGCAGTATGTGTTGGGAAGCAGTGGAAACACACACACCTTGGAGCTTCCCACCACCTCTGTGATGCAGGCTGGTAGAGTCGCTGTTATTGCAGAGAACTCGGTAGGGAAGGCTGTGTCTGCTGCCGCACTCAACATTGTTGGTGAGTACCCTCTTACAGTACCTGGTACAATTACAATTTAGCAGTTACTAACCATAAGGAAAAGTTGCACAGTGTATAGTACCATTATTATTATTGCAATTAAAAATATATTAACACCTATTGAAACAGACATACAATTAAATACAATTTTTATTGTGAATAATATTGTGCATGCAGACAATATACATACATGATGAAAACATTTCCTGAATGTTTTATACATTCTTCTACAATGTAACATCTCATTACAATAACTTTGAAACACTATAAAAGTTTAAAGGTTAGAGTAAACAAAATGTATGAAATTTTTATCATTTGTACTACAAAGAAAACTCACTATTTCAAGTCTTCCACATGAATAGTAAGTGTTGAATGCGAACATGATTTTCATCATATTTGTTACACACACACATCAGAATCTCATGGTTATGAAGCTTAACATATGCTAAGCTATTACTGACTCTCACCAGGATGCAATCTACAACAGTTGCCTAAATCTTGGTTACCTATTTACTGCAGGCGATAAGTCACAATAACGTGGCTGAAGAATGTTGACCAGACTACACACTAGAAGGTGAAGGGACGACAATGTTTCGGTCCATCCTGGACCATTCTCAAGTCGATTGTGCTTGATTCCACAATCGACTGAGAATGGTCCAGGACGGACTGAAATGTCGTCGTCCCTTCACCTTTTAGTGTGTGGTCTGGTCAACATATCTATTTACTGCTAAGATAAGCAAAGGTATCAGGCAAAAGGGAACTTGCCAAGCCATCTCTGTCCTGCCTGGGTATTGAATCCAGAATCTTGGGTTGTGAGCCAAGGACATAGATTACTGCACTACAGGACAATTTTAATGTTTCATATATCATTTAATCTATTCACTTTGTATTTTGTCACTTAAAACACTTCAGAAGTCCTCAACATGTGAATAATGACTTTAAAATTTTATCAGTTGCAAAATACTCATGTAATTTGCACTCGCCTGATATCAACTCCAAGATACTGTATCTAATAGAGTTGTCGATCTGTGGAATCAATTACTGTGTAACAGAATAGATGTAGGAACCCTAGATTGTTTTTAGCATAGGTTAGACATACAGTATCTATGAATGAGATTGAGTGGATATAAATACGAGCTGCCTTGTATGGGTCAATAGACATTCTGCAGTTTCCTTGATTCTTATGTTCTTATGATAAAACTTTGCAAATTCATTAGTTTACAAAGAAAAAATACTCATTCAGAAATTAGCAGCACATCTTGTTAACAACCAGAAAGTCCCTGGTTTCATTCTCGCCACACGATATTAATATTTAGCACGTTTCCTTTCACCTGATGTTTTTATTCACCAAGCAGTACTATGTAGGTACCTGGGAATTAGACAACTGTTGTGGGCTGCATTCTGAACATGGTTAGTTGTTGGCCTACAGGTTCCTTGATAAGCCAAACAGGCTTCCTGTCTCTGACAATGGGAAATCAAATGAGAGGTCCTATAATTTGGAATCCTAGGCAGAGAGGGATAACTTAAAAACTATTTTCTTCCTCCATTCACCCATGTGTGCCTGGTAGTAATTGGGGATACAATACTGAGGAACCTATAAAACAAGATGTGAAACTACCGTCTGTAGTACATACATAAGTAAAGATGCAAATTAAGAGTGCATATACTAAAATATATATTGGCTGTTACCAATCCGTAGTTGTAATTGGATTATTGACCAGCACATGCAGCCCATGATTGAGTTGTATTGGATTATGTGGATTCGGAATAACATGTGCAAGATTAAAAGGTGTGGGTAAATTTCAGAATTACATGGGTTGATTATGTAATTAGCATAATATATGCTAATCCTTGGGTGTACCACATTCTCGAAGGTAAGTTAGGATCCTACTGAATCTACATTCTTATGTTTTACAACAAGTTTGAGGTTATATTTGTGCATCATTGCATATCTTAAACATTTTGAACGTCACTATTTGGTAAATGTGTGGCTGGAAAGTGAAGAAAGAATTAATATTATTGTTATAATAGCTGTTCTGTTAGGAAGAAATTGGAAAAAGTGAAATTTTGGAGGGTCCATGGAACTTATAATCCTGTTTACTGTACTTGTAGGCCTTAAAGTGTGATTGCGTAGTTTTTGGTTTGTTTCTTTTAATGAACATGTGCCGTGTGCACATCAAGGGGTCACTACTAGTTGTAATTTGGTTATTGGCTATTACAGGTACTTTAATTTTTGCTTGCTTATTGGCAATATTTTTCAGGTGCTCTAGTCACCTACAAGATGTTCATTTAAATGAGACATTCTTTTACTGTATATCCTCTCACCAGCGATATATTAATATCAACGTTACTACTTGCAATGAAACTAGATCTCTTGTCTGTTAAATCTGTAGATTTGGCGAGTGTTTTACCACTGCGCCATGTGGACGGCACGCTTGGTCCACTCGTGCCCTAGATACGCTTTGTCCACACAATAATGACAATTTTCATAAGTGTTTGGACTGGCTGATGCAAATAGAATAGCTCGGGAACTGAAAACTAAATAGAATAGCTCGGGAACTGAAAACTGAAGATTTATGACTCCGATAACACGTTTTAGTGTCATTGGAACATTTACTGTTGGAATACAAATGACACATTTTAGTGTCATTTAGTGTGAAAGTATTAACTATGCTGACTAGCATGCCATCTATACAAATGCCTCCTTCTACAGTAAAGTTGTACCCTATAAAATTGGAAATAATTAAAAACTTACTTTAGTAATATTAATAATAGTACCTTTGAGTAGGTACTATTCATACCCCCCATTTTCCCTCAATCTATGGGACCAATTTGCTAAGCAATATATTAATTTCAAGCTGTCATGTAATGGCTATCTGTTAGAACCTGGGTGTGAAGTTTTTATTCTCATCTCCAGTAATGCTTATGCTCCAGTCCCTAAACCATAGATTTTAAAGGTAATCCCATAAATCCCACATAATTTAAAAAATCTAATTCAAAATGAAAACCACCATAGTTTTAAGTCTGCTATATGGCATTCCTGTGACACCAGCTCCTCCTCCTACTGTTGTCCATCTAAGAAATTTTTTAATACAGTAACTCATTTTAAACAATATTAAAAGAAATACCATTAAAGTTCTCTCTCTTTTTTTAGTTAATGCTCTATAGATACATTTTACTGTACAGAATGGTAATTTTAATCTTTATTATGAAGGATATCTATCGGGAAAATAGTCTGTTGGAAATTACTATACAGTACATATGACTATATTTTTTTCATTGCAAATAATTGAATGCAGTAGAACCTTGAGTGACGAGCGCCTCAATTGGCAAGCAATATGGGTAACGAGTGCCCCGATCGCTGACAATTCGTCTCATTTGGCGAGCGCTCGTTTGAATAACGACACCACCACATGGTGGGGTCTCGTGCCTTCTCGCACATTCTCGGATGCCTCCGACGATGCAAATAAATTATTTTTTTTTTTTTTAAAGATGCTAATGATGCTGGGATGTAAAGGGGAGACTGCTGTGATGTTGCAAAGCATTGACCTTTTTGTAGAAAAGAGAAATTAAATTTTTCTGAAACACTGAACGAACCTATATGGCATTTATCCGTTTTTCAAATTGTTTCAACTTTTTTTTTTTTTTTTTTTTTTTTTTTTTTTTTTTTTTTAAGAAACATGGAGCAGCCTACTTGACAAACACTGAACGACTCTTTTGCAAAAAAAAATGAAAAACAAAAATTGAAGAAAGAAAAATGTCATAAAGGTTTGTTCAGTGTATGTAAGGTAGGCTGCTCCATTATTTAAAACATTGAATATCATATTGATATTTTTCGGTGGTAGAACGGATTAATTTGATTTCCGTAATTTTAAATGGAGTTATTCGTTTTGAAAGACGAGCATTTCACATAACAAGCTCGGTGCCGGGACAGATTAAATTCATTATTCGAGGTTCCACTGTATTCAGATTTTCTAAATCCAATTTTTTTTAAAGGCAATCCAGGAGCAAAAAGATTTGTTCTTTAGACATTTATAATAATTTAAAGGTTTGAAACAAGGTGGATGTGAAGTTAATTACTCCACTGTACAATACAGTACAAAGGAATTTCGCTACTTGAACAGCTCCCAACTCGAACAATTTGGCACTCAAACACTGTGCTCGATAGTAGACTGTATGGCACTCAAACGTAAGGATCTGTACGAGACAAGTTAGTTTCTCAGTTGCTGTCGTTCAGTGCACAGCCCCACTTAACTTCTCTCTAAACTTTCTCATATTTTCTTGGATAATTTTTTTTTATATTCTTAGAGTAAATAAGTCACCATAGTGTCTAAGAAAGTAAGTGATAAGGGCCAAATGAAAAGCAAATTAGTTAGATCCAAGATTGAGATGAAAAAACTCATACCAAATATGAAAGTTGTTCCCGTGTATGTGTTTTTGCTACCGAGTTTGTTATGGCTAAATCTATGATCTCTATGATACTTTGAAAAAGAAAGAAAAGAGAGAGAACCCCAATTACTGCACCTAAAGTTTTAATGGTGGGGGCTCCCCAGCCCAACCACTTGGGCTGGACGGTAAAGGAACAGTCTCGCTTCATGCAGGTCGGCATTCAGTCCCTGGCCATCCAAGGGGTTGGGCACCATTCCTTTTCACTTTCCCATCCCAAATCCTTATCATGAACCCTTCCAAGTGCTATATAGTTATTATGGCATGGCATTTTCCCCTGATAATTCTTTCTTTCCTTCCCCTGCCAAACAATAAAATCTTTCCTCTTCCTCACTACCTTCCACATACGCCATTAACTCTTCCAAGTGCAGGTAAGTTGAGAATATATTTGCTTTTAGTTCAGTTATCTATCATTAGTTCAGTTATCTATCATATTCATGAGTATTTTTTGTGGTCTTGAATGGGTTAATCCAGTTTACATTATTCTTTGTGGAGAAAAATTATTTTTCATAGTACTCTAACAAATTGGCACTCAAACAGCCTTTTGGAACCAATTAAGTTGTGCTTTAATGCATGTATATAAGTGCTTGTATATCAATAAACACATCTAGATATGTATATAAATACTGTACAGGGCTGTATATAATACATTATACACTATATAAATGCTGCTTACAATGCATTATTAATCTACCTGTATATATAAGGCATGTACAGCAGATTATCGAGTTCAAAATAACTGCCCAATGACTTTTCTTGCTTTAAGATTTATTTTAAATTTAAGGGTAACCAGAAGCTAGTGACGTAACCAATCTATTGTTGATGTTTTGCATTATTAGGAAATGTACTACAGATTCATGAATAAACTTACAGAGGTTAGATGTTGCATATCTGTAAGTATTATATTTACAGTATTTATTATATAATTACATGGAATAAAAAAATTCTGCATGTACAAGATTATGGTCAATACGTACTGGAAATTATCTAGTTAGCACAAGGTGGCAGCTCACCATTGCATAATAATTTTTTAGAACAATTATTTACAGTTGCTGGAAATTCACTTTAATGGAACTTGGTCAAATTGATGATTGACTGTATTAAGAATGACTGTTTTGATTGTAAAATCAGTTTCAATGGAAAATAACAGTTCCAATTGAGTGTATTTTTGTATTTGCTGCATTGGATGAAGTGTCAAACTGACGTTACAACAAAGTTTATGAATCAATTACTGTACTATATATTTATATTCTAGGTTTTAGAATATAGAACCTATAGAGCCAGGAGGAAGTTAGTGTCATTAAGTGAGGTTAATCTGCTTGCCTAATCAAAAACTATAAATTTTTAAAATAAAAGTTTGATTTCCCACCAGAAAATCATAAGATATGCCCTCAGTCCTTTATAAGCCCCTCACCCCATTGACTGGTGCAAACTCCAGGGCATGATTAATGAGCAGATCACGGTAACTTGTCCACTGCACAGTTACAAAATTAAATTCATAACAATATAGGGTTGGCATGAACCAAATTTTCTGTAGTAAGGGATTTTTAAAATACAGTTTAGTAAATAGAAGTAATTGCAAAAATTGAATGTACTGTACAGCACATACACGTTTAACAGTACATAATCAATATTTATTGGCCACTCTAGGCTGGAATAAGGTACCAATTCTCCATTCAGAAAGCTAACTTTAAATGACTATGAAGTTATTACCAATTTTTTCTTTTTGGAAATTTAAGGTGTAGAATCTTTCATTCTTTTCTTACCTTTGAAAAATACATACCTATATTGCTGGGGGATAAACGGAATTTATTTATTGGCATCGAAAAGGTTAAGAACAATAATTCATTTTGTTGGGGACAGGCAGCCTGTGAATATATATACAGTAGTACCTTGGTTTTCGAATTTAATCCGTTCCCAGAGACGGCTCGAAAACAGAAAATTCGTGAACAGAAACGAGTTTTCCCATAAGAAATGATGTAAATTGAATTAATCCATTCCACACTCCCAAAAATATTATCTTCAAAATACATTTCATACATAATACACCCAAATATTTTGTACTATAGTATGTACAAGTTATAGCTTACCTTTATTGATGACTCTTGCTGGTGTATGGAAGAGGAAGGGGGGGGGGGAGGAGGAGAGGTGTTAGTATTTGGAAGGGGAGTCTCCATCCATTATAACATCCATTATAACCATCCATTATAACCATCCATTATAACATCAGGCAGTGATGACTTCTCTGGGGTACTCAATCCCCTACGTTTTGTAGGCATACCAGTAGGACCTGGTTGTAGCTCACTGCTTGTTTTTCTCACTAAGAACCTTTCCATAGAGACTTTTTCCCCTACATCTTAACACTTGTCTTTAGTGAGACATCACATTGTCATTAAAGAGGTTAATGCAATGGCCTGCTACAGCTTTATCAGGGCGAGTCTTTTCAGCAAAACTTTGCCGTTCTTCTCATACTTCACACATTTTCTAAATGAGGAAGGGACATCCTCTACTCTCAACTATTTTCTTAGGTTGAACTTTACCACTGACGTTTTTGGGACCCATGGCATGGTATATATAATTACTTTTGTGTTTAGGACCAAAAAAAGTTGAAATGCAATTCAATTCTTTACAAAGAATTCAAGTGCGATTGTCACTAGGCAAGAAGCACTGGTAAACTAAAGTGGGGTCGCCCATGCCACCAGGAACCACTCGCTTGGTCGACCCATACATGTTACAAACGTGTATCAACAAAGTCGGAAAGATATTGCTCATATGCCAGCAAACATTGTCGCTTGGACCGTCGACTTGTTTTGGCATCACCAGCAGCTTATTTTCGTTATAAAATAATACGTTTTCAGAATAAAAATATGTTTTTCATGTTCTACATTTAGCACCAACATTATAATGAATAATTATATCTTATTCATTACTAACGTAATGCTAGGAAGCTTTGTGTAGCTTTGAGTAAGTTTGGGTAGCTTTGGGTAATTAGACGGACCCTAAACAGTATAGTACATAAAAGAGACCAGAGGAAGCTAGTGTCACTGAGTTAAGCTAATATTCGTGGCACTAAAAAGCCCTAATCCCCTATCTAGGTATATTAACATCACCACAATTTTAGAATTAATTTATTATTTTTTTTGTTAAAAATAGTAATCTACAAACAATTTTGTTAACTATTTGTATTTGGAAGACAGTTGAACATACCACAAAATATTTAAAAAATTGCCTTTCATAATGTAAAGAATTGATTACAATTTGACTTAAAATGTTAAATATTACATATGGATAAAGAGAAAGCAGTGTTTAAATTCACTTTTACACTATCACAGACGTCTCTTTAGACACTAAGACACTTGGTGTCGTAAAATCATTATGGTATTGCTAAATTAAGGGGATTTGTAGGTATTAGCGATTTTGTTAAATAACCAATTTTAGGTAATGTTTTGAAACACGATGTTGTACAGTATTGCCAAAAGACTAAATTTTCACTTACATTGTTACCCTCAATACTTTTTCGTTGTTACCCGATGACCTTTAAATGTTAAATGTCTGGCGTAGCGGAGCAGCAAAGTTCACCGAGTAGTGTAAGTTTTCTTCCCAGGAGATAGGACAGTTATCACAAGCACACCGAGTTACAGCCCCGCTCCTGTGCCAGGCAAGTCCACAACGGGCTCACCATAGCCCGTGCTACTTGTAACTTTTTGTTTCAAGTAGCGAATCTTAAACATCAACATCACAAGCACCAACAATAATCACATTAAACCAGGTCACTATAGTAAGCTTAATAGTTTGTTTTTCATGTCAGAATATAATAAAACTATTACAATTTCACATCCTAAAATGCGTAAACAGCCACTACTTGCTTACTGACTGAATAAATAATGACCTCGAATACACGGCATTCAGTACAGTACTAGTTTTTTAGTTGAAAATAAAAATTTCAGGCCTGAAAATGGGTAACGTGTTGACCTGAAGAATCAGTCACCCATCACAAGTTCCATGGTCTGTGGAATGAGTTACCAGCACAAGTCTGGAGAGTCACAAGCACATGATACCTGGTCAGGAGAATCAGTAACAAGCACATGCTCCCTGGACTTGGGAATGAATAATCAGTTGAAGCGCCTATAGTTTCGGCTTGGACACTTGGGGAATGATGTACCAGCACAGCTTCCCTGGTCAGCGGAATGAGGCACTTGTTATAAAGTTCACAGCATGGCCTGATGAACCAATCACCAGTTTTAGATTCCAAGCCACTAAATAATTCATCACTGTCTCATAGAAGAAATAATGAGTACAGCACCAAGGCAGCCAAAACTCATCCAGGCATCCCTCATGACCTGGGCATAGGAGCTGTGCCAGGCACTCCTTCCAAGCTGCTGGAGATTCTTGTGGAAGTAGAGGGAGAAGGTGAGACACTGACCCAACTGCACTATACTTCGCTGAGAGATGTCAAGTACATCTTGATCTACGAGCTCGTTCATGAGGAGTAATGTACTTTTTACCAGAATATGATTAAAGGTCGATTTAGGAGGCAAAGGTGTTCTGTTACCGAAGAGCAAGTGCTCCTTTGTAGCCACTGATACTGTGTGTTTGTTCAAAAGCTGGACAATGGCATTTAATATCTTGTCTCTGTCAGCAGAGAGATAATTGTTCATTCCCTTAACGAAAAATGTAAAAACCGAGTCCTCTTCATAGGACAGATCGTTGTTATTCACTTCACTTTTAGAGTCGGTGTCACAGAGATCGTTCTCTGGAGGGCATGGTGAGGATGCTACGTCTCCATCTTGACGTTCTAGTCCCTGGTCGCGTAAAAGGTGGCCGTAGCTGTTTAACTTGTGCAGACGTTTCCTGAGGAGCTGGTGGCGCGTGTAGCTCTGCACCAGGCTGCTCTCACCTGCTGTGGGGGGTGGCGGGGTGAGGCTCCTTCCACGGTCGTCCAGGTTGAGATGTATGATCTTGAGGCGGATCTGAGGCACCGTCAGGGCCTTCCTTGGGATCTCCTCTATACAGCTAACGTTCGAATCCATTGTAACAACCTAATGGTTGGCGTGAGAATAGGTTTATAAATATCTTGACCTAATATTTCCCACGGGGATTCGTCGTCGTCGTTACATAATCCAGTAATCCACGGAACTCGGGTATCTGGTATAGGATTATGGCGGGAAGTATTATGAAGTGTTATCTGGTCACTGTCGTGTTTCTTACTAAAGCTTCCACGTGACGGTGCACAACCAGCTAACTAAGCAGGCCGGGCGGGAGAGGGGGGGGGATGGAGAGGTGAAAGGGGGGGTGGGAGGAGGAGGAGGGGGGGCAGACTGCCAAGAAAGAGTGCCAGACACATCATGCTGCCAGCATCATGTGCCTGACGCCAAAACTGCACAAGAATTTGAGAACTGTGTCCTCCTCTTGGCAAGTATGGTCCGTAAACAACAGTTTGTTCATAGTGATAGGAAAATCATTGTGCATCAGTATCTAACATATTGTAAACAGTTTAGTACTTGTCACGAGCAATAACAATGTAGATTACCCATATGCCTGAAGTTAATAGCTTATCGAGAGCATTATTATCCCCCCCCCCCCCCTCTGTACGTATATATAGGCTTGATATGCACATGTGTTTTATATTTGCGTTTTATAGCAAGTTTTGAGAATATATCTTACCTGTCAAGTAAGGACAAATCCAACTAAGAGCCTTTTAACTGGTTTGAGATAATATCACACAACAGGTATATTATTATTATTGTTATTCAATTATGATATAGTTTGAGAGTAAAGTGAAGCAGTTGGTGACGCAGGCCT